ATTTATTTCCTAATTTTTTATGGTGGTTACTAAGTCAGTCAAATTGACAGATCTTGTATAATTAGGGTAGAGAAAATAACAGACAAAATGTAGTTTTTACTGAAAACAAATGTTTTAGAGATTATACAAAGAATATTTGAGATTTTTGGGACGAGGAATAGTTTTTTTAGTAATGACATGAAAATCACGTTGCCTTGGACTTGTAACGAAAAAGAGTCGATATTTTCACAAACAAATCTTTAGTAAAAATACTTCATTAAAAAAGTGATTTTTTGTGCACAAAAGATTTGGAATCATTACTGTAAGTCTACTAAATTTTGTGAAGATACACCTTCAGCATTAAAAGTTATAGTATAAGTAATTAGTGTGTGCATATGTGTATACGAACTCGTCTTTTATACCGAGCCCATTGCAAAAGGGTTAATAAGTGTATAAAGATTACATCAAACATATGTAAGATTGGTGATAAAATTTCTATAACCTTGTGTCAAAATCCATAAGCATAATGCAGTACCCATTATTTTTCTTTTATATGAATAAGGTTTCAAATAAATGTTTATACAAATAAAAACTTGCCATTTTATTTTGAAACTCAATTGAATGATGGGGTAAAAGTATGAGACTTATCTGTATAAATAACTTATAATATTTGATTATTTGGTGACTCCGACATTTGACTCTCAGTCTGTGGGTTGTGGGAGTGATTCCCAGTGACAAACGTGCTTCCACTTTCAGTGATAGATGAATTATAATGTTATGGTCAATTCCAATATTTTATGGTAAGAAATAGCTCAAGAGTTTGTAGTGGGTGTTGACAGTTAGTTGCTTTTCTTGTTGTCAGCAGTTCCAAATTAAGAATGGTGACAGATAGTCTTAGTAGCATTGCCATAAACAAACAAGAATAATAATTATATTATTTGACAAGTTGAATTCCCATCATACGACAGGAAATAATGATTAATTTTTCTTCTCAAAATTATATCTAAATAAATGTTTTATGAACATGTTTTTTAAAAATTAATTATAATCTAGTAACAATACATGTATGGAAATGACTATCCTATATTTAGAATTTCATGAAAACAAAATGTTTTATGTATATTTGGTCATCTCCTTTAAGTATTGCTTGATTAGCACTTTGACTTCTGTATGTTTTGAATTTATGTTCAAATGTTCTTCTTGATAAATCCTTATAGATTGAAACATACAAAAACCTGATTTTCAAAGACATATTCCAACTTGGTCAACTGTATGACCCTGCATATTATTAATTGTGATGGCAAATGCAGTGAATTTTATTATGAATTTTGGGGTTTTTTTTTGGACTGTCTTCCTGGTTTTGGCTTTATTAGCTTGCTGAGCTGAAGTACCAAGCTTTAATTTGTGCATTTTCAAAATTGAAATGTGCTGTGGGTAAAACATGCAGGTTATTATAGAGTTGTAGCTGAGGGTTCTGATTTGACAAAAGTTGTTGATGTTGTGTCAGTGTGTCTCCTTGACAACCAAGCAAATGTAGTGGGGAATTTCAGCCAATGATTATAATCTTTCATGCACCAGCAATACAAAGCATGGGATACAAAATGTGATCTCTACCAGCCTATCCTCAAATTTAATTATATTCCCAAAGTAGCACATCATCCAGTTTATACTATATACATGCAAGTGTGTTGATCAGTACTGCAACAGTCGAGGTATCGCTTGACAGACGGTTGGCTTTTCATCTTTATATAGTACATGTACATTTCTTTTATATTGCAGCTTTGATATTAATATCATGGAGTACATTTATCAGCTTATGTTTAACAATAAGTGGTCTAAGTTTAGTGACTGTTTCATATAAGCTTTTGGAAATTATTTTCATGGGAATATTTATTTAAGGAAAGAAAAACTTTAGAAATCACAGCTTATATGTACCAAAAATAAATTCAGTTTTGAGAAAAACTTGAAAAATAACTGATTTTATCTTTAGTTATTATATCAATGAAACTTATGAAAAAGATGTAAGCTACTAATTTTGTTTTTGATAATGATTAATATGGTTGTTTTCCAGGCTGACGAAATTATGTTGGGCAAAAAGTAATAAAGACAGTGATAAAGTAAATTGGAAACCTGAAGACACACGCACGTTAATAAAGCAGTAAGTAATTGATTAAATTTGTAAATTTTAATAATAGTATTTCTAAACAACATCATTAACTCCTTAACTGTTTAGCATTAGTCTCAACAGTTTGCAGAAACCTGACTAGGGGAATGGTACATGTGCAAAAATACATACGGTAACTAAGATTTCTTAAAGTATCCTCACAAAAACTGGTAAGATTTTCTTGAAGATTATAAGTATCTTGTACACAAATAATGACATTGTTTTAATTAAGTCTTTCTACTAAAAATATGTTAACTATTTATTGTAGTTATTTGCACTCAGACTCTGAATAGTTTGAGTGCAAAATGATTTTCATTTTAAGTATAAAAATACTTTTCTTCATTGTACAGTTTTCAAGTTTTATTTGCATAACCTCTAGAACCTCCTAAATGAATATAAAAGTTTTTTTAAGGTAAGTGTTTATATTTTATTTTTCATTTTTGCTACCTTTTCACTAACTGTAGACTGATCATCAACAATAAAATGTGTAACATTAAGAAATAGAAAATTGTACACACCTTTAATTCTTCATAGAATATTGTAAAAGATCTTCTTTTGGTGATATTTGTAATTTCAAGTCTTTTCTTTTTCACATATACTTAATTTCTAATGTTTTATTTTCCTATCCTGTCCTTTATTGTATAATATTCATCTCAACACAAGTCAATGATACCTTTGGGGGATGTTACAGTATTTTCGGGAGAAATGCACAAGCCTTTTGGCAAAATTACCTTACATTGAGGCAAGATCATAAGCCTTAAGAACTGGGGCAATATCCGAGTTAAATTTTTAAAATGTTCAAACAGTTCAATTATGCATTTTAAATCATAAATAATACATAATTAACTAAGATATAAAAGTAAAATCTAAATACAGTTTAAATGTCTCTCTAGCTAACATACTTAGGTAAGAAATAACTGTAAGTGCTATCGTAGACAAAGCAGCCAACAATACTACCGGCAGTTACATCTACTTGATGACAATAACTGAGTGCCAGTTTCAAAATAACTATTATTGGGTTATAGTGTAAAATAAGTCTTTCCAATGACTATAAACATGTAAAAATTTCTTTAACCAAAAGGGTAAACAAAATGTTAGGATGGGGATAGAACCTTTGAGGGATGATAAAAGAAGGCTCATATCTGATGATTATGAGATGGCTGGGACATTAAATTTTGCTTTTTCTTCAGTTTTTACTAACGAATATTTAAGCAGTATTCCAAATCTTGAACAGTTGATAGATGGAAACAAGATCAGACAAGGAGACTGCATTAATTCTGAGCTGGTTAAGAAAAAGTTGGGAAGTTTAAAGAAAGATAAGGCTTATGGACCAGATAATATTTCCCCAAGGGTTTTGAAGGAGGCTAAAGAATGTATATGTGAACCACTTGCTACTATTTTTTGTCAGTCCTTGAATAGTGGACAGGTACCAGAGGATTGAAAGTTAGCTAATGTAATTCCTCTTTTCAAGATAATAATTATTCCCAGTTGTGGGAAAGTTTTGGAAAGTCTGATAAAATATGCTTTGCAAAGTCATTTAACAAAGTTTAGGGGATTTTAATTGGATAGTCAACATGGTTTCACTAAGGAAAAATCTTATCTTACAAATCTTTTGCCATTCTTTGAAAAGGCTACTGCTTATGTAGGTGAGGGTAAGAGTGTAGATTTGGTGTATCTGGATTTTCAGAAAGCATTTGACAAGGTGCCACATAAAAGGCTTGTAAAAAGTTTTTCTCTACAGCTGTGAGGGATAAGTTA